GTTCTCATGATAATTGTATGTAGCCAATATGACAGACTTGTGCTGCACACTTTACTGTATTTTCCTTTTTGAAGTGATTACAATCATATTGCAAGCAATTCAAAACCATCATGGTGAACAGTACGCAACTGAAGTGTCTCAGCTGAAGGAAATAATCTACTATTTTTTGTCTTTAATATATCCGTCATATTTTCTTATGGGGCCAATAACAATAACATCAAAAATGAACAAATATCGACCGATACTGATATGGTGGCCAATATATTGTGCATCCCTACTTACTATTTATTAAAGAACCCTGAAAAAAAATCATGGTTTCCACAAAAATTGTTATATATATATATATATATATATATATATATATATATAAGAAATATTAAAGGCATAAATATTATTCATAAGAAGCACAACTGTTATCAACATTGATAATAATAAGAAGTGTTTTTTGAGCATTAAATCAGCATATTAGATTTCTGAAGGATCACGTGACACTGTAGATTTAAGTAATGATGCTGAAAGGTTTGCTTTTCCATCACAGGAATGAATTAAATTTTAAAATATATTAAAATGAAGAATTTCAATTTTATTTTAAATTGTGTAATAACATTTCATAACATTACTGTTGTATTGTATTTTTTTCTCAAATACATTTAGCCTCGTTGCGCATAAGAGACTCATTTTTAAAAGAACCGTACCAAACCAAGTGTTTTTTATGTGTTTAAAACAGATTCTGGGCCTCAGTGGAGCCTTACTGTGCAGACATCACAAATGAAGAGATCCGAGTTCTGGATGAGCTGCTCAAACCCCCTGAAGATGAAGCTGAGTATTACAAGGTAAAGTTCGTTTAGAATCCAGTTCCTGATCTGCATTATTGCAGCTTTCTCGTTCCATTCCTTCCCTTCAGCTTCTTCTGTATTCAGAGAAATGCCTGTTAAATGGAAGTTGTGTTGATTTTTCACTTCTGAACCCTGACTGGGGGGTTTTCGTTGCAGATCCCAGCTCTTGGAAAGCACTATTCCCAACGCTGGGCTCAAGAGGACCTGTTAGAAGAGCAAAGAGAGGGAGCCAGAGCCAATGACAAGAAAAAAAGCATTATGGGTCCTCTTTCAGAACTGGATGCTAAAGGTAACCGTGTCATTAAAGATGTATCTTGATTCCGGATGCAGCATTGATTTTCTGATCTGTTTCTTTAATCCTCTACTGTTCTGGATTGTGTAGATGTAGACGCCCTACTGAAGAAATCAGAGACACAGCATGAACCACCAGACGACGGCTGTCCCTTTGGCCCTCTCACTCAGCGGCTTTTACAAGCTCTTGTTGAGGTCAGTGACTCATCATTTGCCATTTAGTCAGCTTTGTTACAGCTCGGTTTATTTCAGTCATATCCTTTTTTCCTGCATGTAGGAAAACATCATATCTCCTATGGAGGATTCCCCTATTCCAGACATTCCAGGGAAGGATGATGGGGCCGGTACGTCACCTCGTAGCCAGGGTAAAGCCTTCAGGTAAAACCAAAAATAACATTAAAAGATTTAAACAAATGTTATTACTGTCTCTTTTTATGCAATTTAATGTCTTGAAATGTCCTGAAACTTTTGAAGTTAAGTCGAGTATATTTATATAGCGCTTTTCACAACATAGATTGCATCAAAGCAGCTTCACAGTATCAATCAAAACATAACATGGTTCGTTTCTTTGTGGAAAAACATCCACGTTTGGTAGAGCTGATTAATGGTATTAATGATTGGTTAATTAATTTCAATATCCCCAACTGAGCAAGCCAAAGGCAACAGTGGCAAGGAACCGAAAAACTCCATCAAGTGACCCAATGGTGTCCTAAAACTCCATCAAGTGACCTAATGGTGTCCTAAAACTCCATTAAGTGACCTAATGGTGTCCTAAAACTCCATCAAGTGACCTAATGGTGTCCTAAAACTCCATCAAGTGACCTAATGGTGTCCTAAAACTCCATCAGGTGACCTAATGGTGTTCTAAAACTCCATCAAGTGACCTAATGGTGTCCTAAAACTCCATTAAGTGACCTAATGGTGTCCTAAAACTCCATCAAGTGACCTAATGGTGTCCTAAAACTCCATCAAGTGACCTAATGGTGTCCTAAAACTCCATCAGGTGACCTAATGGTGTCCTAAAACTCCATCAAGTGACCTAATGGTGTCCTAAAACTCCATCAAGTGACCTAATGGTGTCCTAAAACTCCATTAAGTGACCTAATGGTGTCCTAAAACTCCATCAAGTGACCTAATGGTGTCCTAAAACTCCATCAAGTGACCTAATGGTGTCCTAAAACTCCATCAGGTGACCTAATGGTGTCCTAAAACTCCATCAAGTGACCTAATGGTGTCCTAAAACTCCATTAGGTGACTCAATGGTGTCCTAAAACTCCATCAGGTGACCCAATGGTGTTCTAAAACTCCATCAAGTGACCCAATGGTGTCCTAAAACTCCATCAGGTGACTCAGTGGTGTCCTAAAACTCCATTAGGTAACTCAATGGTGTCCTAAAACTCCATTAGGTAATTCAATGGTGTCCTAAAACTTCATCAAGTCACCTAATGGTGTCCAAACACTCCATCAGGTGACCCAATGGTATCCTAAAACTCCATCAGGTGACCCAATGGTGTCCAAAAACTCCATCAGGTGACGCAATGGAGTCCAAAAACTTCATCAGGTGACCCAATGGTGTCCAAAAACTCCCATCAAGTGACCCAATGGAGAAAAAAAAAAAAAAAAAACTTAGGAGAACCCAGGCTCAGTCAGGGGCCAGTTCTCCTCTGGCGATTAGGAACTAGAGGCTGGATTTAAAGTACCTGTAAGGTAAAATATATATGAATGTCTCTAAACAGACTTTAAACGCGAACCTGTGATAAACGCTGATGGCGTTCACATGCATATTAAGAAATGATTCTATAGTTATGTGGACCTGTTGAACAGTTGTTTTAACGCCTCTTGACTCTCGTTCTGACACTCTAAACAATTTTTTTGTCCTTTGTCGAATGGTATTTGAATACAAGAACACGTCTTATGCAAACAGAAACGTTTCCAAACGGGTGAACCAGTATAGTTATATAGGGCCAGTTGAGATCAATTAGTTAGTTGTTCAGCCAACCAGTCATATTTGTTCATTGACTTTGACATTGAAACTGGACATTTGTTAACAGGAAAAAAAAATGGATTTGGGAATCTATCGGATGGTGAAAAGTGGACATGAACAGGATAACAAGATATTTAGCTATCATTGGTCAAGATTATTCAATTGACTCTATGGTCTGGGTGACATCATCCAAAATTGAAAGTTGATTCAGAGGCAGAGAAAGCGATTACATTTTAGATTTTTTTTTTCCTCTTTGTAATAATAACATGCACAATAAGTAAGTTCACCGAATATTTTCTCATTCTGTTTTCCCCAGTGTGCCTCACACACGCTCTCTGGAGGCTCGTATAAGAGAGGAGCTGGTGTCTCAGGGGCTCCTGGACTCTGATGAGAGGCAAGGTGTCGGAGGAGAATCTGAAGACGAGGTGCTGGCTGAGCTGCAGAAAAGACAGGCTGAACTCAAAGCTCTGACTGCCCACAACCGCTCACGCAAGCAGGAGCTGCTCAAGTGAGTCTCACCCAAAGAGCTTCAGATCCAGATCAAGACTGCCGTCAGCACAAGATGAAATCTGGCTTATGAAAATAAGCCTGTAATCTTTCAAAGAGTTAGAGGGAGCAGTCTGATGTGACAAGTTTTGATTTTCTTTTCCAGAGTTTAAAATTTAGTCCGATGAAAACTGTATTGAAGCAGTCAGCTGGGTATTTTTTACATGTCAATGAGAATTTTAACTAGAAATATCTTGTGGTGTTGTTTTTTCCTAACCAACCCCATATGCATGGTGAAATACAAGGCTTAATGTGATTTTCAAAAAAAAGTCACATTTCTCTTTTCATCCTGTTCATGCAGGTTGGCACGGGAAGAGATGCGAAAACAGGAGCTTCGACAGCGGGTTCGTGTGGCTGATAACGAGGTCATGGAGGCCTTCCGTCGCATCATGGCAGCCAGGCAAAAGAAACGCACTCCAACAAAAAAAGAGAAAGATCAGGCGTGGAAAGCTTTAAAAGAGAGAGAAAGTATTCTCAAACTCTTGGATGGATAAATATGACCGGCAGCTAAAATGTGATGTGTTTTCATTCATTTTTATTGGCTATGGACACGTTTAATATATTTGTTCATATGTTATGAATACTCTCTATCCAAAATAAGACCTTACATGGCTAGTTGTGATAAATACAGGTGTTTGATGCTGAGTCCCAGTGACTTGCTAGAAGTATGGCACCTCGAGTTTACCATTTATTTTTTTGTCTTTATGTACAGTTCCAAATGCAACTGATTACCAGAATGGTTTGATATTGTGATAGCGACAGGTCTCCCAAAAATCCCATTCTAAAAGTCGTCATTTACTCACCCTCATGTCATTCTAAACCTGTATAACTTTCTTTCTTCTTTGGAACATAACGAAAGATATTTTGAAGAATGTTTTGGTGTCAATTAACTTTCATTGTATGGACACAAACACTGAGAAAATTCACAAAATATATTATGTTTTGTTCCACAGAAATGAGTGGAAGAGGGTGAGTAAAAGATGACCGAAATGTCATTTTAAAAGTTGTCATAGTGTTGATTGTATTTTGTCACTACATTGGATAGAGAAAGAACTCGTTGTTTTTGATTTTTTATATGAGTAAAAGGAAATAAAGCTTGTATAAAGGTATTGTAATTGGAAATATAAACGTTTGTAAATTCATGATTATGTTGTCATTTATTTCAGTTCATGTTGAATTTAGTCGTATCTGACATTTTATAAACTACTTCTAACATTGCTGTTGCATGTATGTGGGGGTCTGAAAATAAAAAAAAAACTTTTTTGTTGTTGTTAATTAATAGACTACCAGTCGTATAACTTATGCAAAGCATTGATTAGAAGTGTTATGACCGGTTGTCCTGACAGAAGGCGCTATTCCGTGTTTACACCATGGTTTACATCCACATCGTTGCTCTTTCTGCTTTTACATTCTTTATCTCAAAATAAGGACTTCTTGACTGGTGAGAATGCACCTTATGCTAGTAGTAGTGTCTATTATTTGTTAATGCATCTGTGTCGTGTTTGCCAGTTTATGAAGACGGCAAACGGGGTGTACAGGAACCGTTGAATGTAAGTTAAGTGACGTTAGCAGTCTAGCCGAATCACCTATAACAAAGCTTTGAGGTGAAGTCTTGAGGTAAAATTAAACGGCGTGCAACCTTTTAAGGATTTAAAGTACGCATATTTAGAGTAAAATGAGGTAGCGGTGATGCTACTGCAGTTTAAACCTATGACGGCTAACGTTACTGCTTCATGAACGATTCGTTCTTGTGAATCGGATCTTCTAAATGAAATGGTTGAACCATGAGTTGACCTCTTTTTTTGTTTTTACAGTCTGGGATTTGGACTGAATGAAATATGTTCGAGAATGAAAAAAATGAATGAAATATGTTCAACAACTGAACCGAGAACATATTTGCCTGATTTGTAACGAGTCGCGAATCGTTGGGTGAGCTAATAGTGATTCAGAAGAGAAGTAAGGAACTTTCATAACCGAGACGATTTCCCTGGGACGTCAGAAAAACGCGCGATGACTTTTTACGTAACAACGTAAAACAAACCGTGAATTACTCTTTGCAACAGTTTTTTTATAAACAAACCAAACTAAAGAATCAAATAAAACACTGAGATAATAATTAACGAAAAAAAGAAAGAACGTGTATAAAAAAGGGTATATCAATTTTCTGATAAACTAATAGCATAACGTTAGTTGTTGTGAATTGTAAATTAGTATTTTATGTACATTAAAACAAGTACAACGTATGTTTTTCTGTGATGCTCCTTTACATTTGTGTATAAATATTAAAAAATATATATATAAATATAATCAAACAACATATTTGTTTCTCGTTTCATCTTTTTACATGAGTTGCATTTACTTGCAAGAAATTTTTGTTTTAGGCATTAAGTAAATGTACCATTTTATGTGTGATGTCATACAGGTTTGGTAAACCCCCAGGATGTGCGGGAGAACGGCTTGCACTCTTGCGCCGGATGAACTCAGCCGTGCCTCTCGGTATCGAGACCGAAAAGGACAACGACACCGGCCCCGATGGAAGGATGGAGACAGCGACAAATACCGGCCCTCATACAACAAGAGTCCTCAGTCCTTCAGTCCTGTGCTGCTGTCCAACAGACACTTCAACAAGGCATGTCAATTTGTCAAATCATATACACACAACTTTTGTTGCTGAAGAAGAACAACTCTTAAAAAAAAAAAACATTTTCCATAGGATGCTCCTGTAGATGAGTGTGTGCTGGCAGCAATGCGCTGGGGTCTCGTCCCGGCATGGTTCAAAGAGAATGACCCCAATAAGATGCAGTACAACACCTCTAACTGTCGCAGTGAGAGCCTGCTAGAAAAGAAGTCTTATAAGGTACATTAGACATCCTTATTTATTCTACATTAGCAGGGAAGCCCCGCCCACACTGAAATGTTATTGGTCCAAAATTCAACTCTGCATAATAGAGTGTAACAGTGATGTTCCTAAAGAAAAAATCGAATCGATTTTATCTATAGGATACCTGAATTTTATTTTTTAACAGTAATGCACCATTTAATACAGAACTATTGTGTACTACAATCAATGTTGTTTAAGGGATCGTTCAAAAAGTGACAGTGCTCTCCCACTGCTAAAAAAGTGGTACTGTTGCACTTTATAATTAAACATTAAATATGCTCTAATATGCTGTGGGCAGACAAATGACGTGTTGCTGGAAATTTATTGTACAGGATCCTCTTTTGAAAGGCCAGCGCTGTGTCATTCTAGCTGACGGCTTCTATGAATGGAGGCGACTGGAGAAAGAGAAACAGCCTTTCTTCATATATTTCCCACAAAGCCAAGGAGGACAAGTGCCCAATCCACAAAGTACACAGGAACCGAAATGTGACCAAAGTTTGGAACAGGGCGAGGTTAGCCCAAGTTTGACAGTCATAAGAAGATCATTTGTTCGCTTATGCCAGTCTTACATATCTGCTTATTCCTCCACTTGTCTACAGAATGATCAAGATGACAGTGACTGGACCGGGTGGAGACTGCTGACAATAGCAGGGCTCTTTGACTCCTGGACTCCTCCTGGTGGTGGAGAGTTGCTGTACACTTACACTGTTATTACTGTAGACGCCTCTCCAAATCTACAAAGCATCCATGACAGGTTGAGCACATATGACTCTTTTCACGTGACATCAAAACAATGTGGTACGCTTTATTGTAATGAGTCAAATTAACCATGATTTAATGTGTTTTGTAACAGGATGCCGGCTTTGCTGGATGGAGAGGATGAAGTAAGACGGTGGTTGGACTTTGGAGAAGTGAAATCACTAGAAGCCATGAAATTACTTCAGCCAAAGTCCTCTCTGACCTTTCACCCCGTCTCGTCACTGGTCAACAATTCCCGCAACAACTCCCAAGAGTGTCTGCAGCCTGTAGACCCCACGATTAAGAAGGTAAATAAAAAAAATAAAAAAACACCACTTTTCTCACAAGTTTATTTAACCCATAAATACATGAATGTTTCACCAATCATTATTACATATTCGGGTCTTTAGCAACCCGGGCTATATCTAACTAAGTGTCACGATACTATACAACTCCTGATATTAGAGAAACAATTACAGAATAATCAAATAAAGCACATTGTAATACCTTTTTGAGCTTGGAAGGGTTCTGTTTGAGCAAATGTTTTATACCATCATCATTGACCTCGTCAGAGCCTATTCTCCTATTCAAAATTTTGGGGTCTGTAGAATTTTTAATCTCTTATGCTCCCTAACTGTTTTTTGTTTTTTAATTTTGTGAAATATTACAATTTAAATGAACAGTTTAACAGTAATTTCAAATGTATTTTCAGCAGCCATTACTCCGGTAAATAGTTTTAAAGGGATAGTTCACCCAAAAATTAAAATTAAGTCATTAATTACTCACCCCCATGCTGTACCAACCTCGTAAGACCTTCGTTCATCTTTGGAACACAAATGAAGATATTTTTATTAAATTTGAGAGCTGGATAACTCCTATAGGATCCCAAATTAAAGAAAATGTTTAAATATTCCATGTGACAGCAGTGGCTCAACTATAAGTTTATCAAGCGACGAGAATACTTTTTGTGCAGAACAAAAAAACAAAAATAACAACTTTATTCGACTATTCCTTTTCTTCCTTGTGGGCCTGAGAGGAGCGTTCAAGAGATTTCCACCACGCATGCACGAGAACAAGAAGTAGTAGAGGAACCATAGACAGTAAAAGAAATGGACACAGCAACCCCATTGATTTCAACGGAGAAGACTGAAGCCTGATTATTGCACTTCCTGTCTGATGTCTGAGTGACTGCACATGCTCAAACTGAGCTTGACGACTGTCTGACAGTTGAACATCTTCTAGTAGCTGTGCCAAGACAAATCTGAATCACCTAATTCTTCAAAAACATTGTTGAAATATTTTGTCCCGTTGCTTTTTTCGACTCTCTATTTATGGGCTTCTACCTTGACTTTATTCCTCCGTGTCCCCCCGATTGCCTCATAAACAGTAAAAGATTGCCTGGGAGCTTCTCCTCCTGTCTATACGGTAATATCTCTATTGTGCGACAGAAAGTTCTGTGGTTATGACACAATCTTTAGCCTATTTTTTACAAAATCGGCTTCTACGGGGTCGTAACGTAAGATACAAAGTAATGGAGCATTTTATACATTGTCGTGTTTCTTTAGAAATAAATAATGGACAAATGAAGTCTTTGGACGCCTCAGATGTAAAGTTATTCGCTGTCAAAGTAACGCCAAAATGAATGGGAGTCAATGGGATGCTAACAGCAGGTGAAGTTCTGCGACAATGGCGGCTCCCGCGAGGCTTCAACTTCCGGCTGATGGATTACCCCCTTGGAGAAGAACGTCCTCTTCTCAGTTCTCACGCATGCGTCGTGGAAATCTCTTGAGTTCTCGTCTCAGGCCCACAAGGAAGAAAAGGAATAGTCAAAATCGTTATTTTTTTTTTTTCGCACAAAAAGTATTCTCGTCACTTGATAAACTTATAGTTGAGCCACTGTAGCCACATGGAATATTTAAACATTGTCTTCAATGACTTTCTGGGCCGTCAAGTTTCAATCCCTTTGGGAACCTATGTAGCCGTGATCCACCTCTCAAATTTAATCAAAAATAGTTCCGAAGATGAACGAAGGTCTTACGGGGTTGGAACAACATGGGGGTTAGTAATTAATGACTTAATTTTAATTTTTGGGTGAACTATCCATTTAAGCTTTATAGTCTGTTTCTATACATTGGAGATATTTGAAAAGTGGCAAAAAATAAATGGCGAATACAATCGTAATTCTATAAAAAAAAAAAATGTCCTGGCTCTTCTAAGCTATATAATGGCAGTAAATAGCCGTTTATGTTTTGAAGTCCATAAAGATGCATCCATTCATGATAAAAGTAATCCACATGCCTCCGGTGTGTGTATGAGTGTCAGATTTCGTTATGAAATTCAAATCTGTTAGATGTGTTTTGATCTTCATTGTAAAATTGAAATCTGTTAGATGTAATAAAAATCAACCAATGGGAAAAGTGCGTACAGTTAAAAAAAACACCTTATGATATTGCTGTAACTGTGAATGAGTTATCACAATAATTAATCTTAGTATTTGTGAAAAAAAGGATGCACTAAACATAACAATCAGAATCGTTTGACATAGGAATGCTAACTGCTATATAGAGATGCTTATATGTATCATATCTTATTAGATATTTCTATTGATTTAAATCCTTCCACCCTGTCCAGACCATTCAACCAACAGCCAGCAGCAAAATGATGATGAGCTGGCTGAAAACTGCCTCGCCAACTAAGAGGAAGAATCCAGATGAAGAGACTACAGCTAAAGGACCTGAAGGAAAACTTGCAGCAGAGAAGCAGACCAAGCCGACCGGGTCTCTCCAACAATGGCTTCTGGGAACGGGTTCCAGCAAGAAACCAAAAACTTAAAAGAATTACAATATATTCCGTTACATACTGTAGAAGTCTCATCTCTTCAGAATGACCAAAGTGGACTAGTTTAAAGATTGCAAAAGCCTCAAATGTCTGTTAAGACAAGATGTGTTCGTTTTTTCATGACAGAAATAAACATTTACATTTAATAGCTGATTTGTGGACGTATTCATTTGTTCATTTCGAACAGTTCCAGTAGATATCATTTCACTTCTCCAAAACAAACACTCAGTGCACAACACATTTATTCAACAACTTAATTTTATTTCCATTATTACTTTGAAATACATTTATCTTGAACAATGTATATGCTGTGTATTTTGTTTCATTGATAGTCATGAACAATTCAGTTTTCCCCAAATGTTGTCTAGTTGTGTTTATTTGTATATAATGCAACAAAGATAATAATAATTACAATAATAATGAACAGACAGGAAAAGATCTGAGTGAAACTGAGCACTTAAATTCTCTACCATCCTGAGCTACTGGTAGAGTTCAGGCAAGATATGAAATTAAAAAAAAAAAAATGTTCATGGCAGATGCGGTGGCTCTTTCATGCTGACATGAGGATTGATGACAAACAAAAAAAAATACAAAGAGATACTAATTGTCATAATAGTATGAATGTTAGATAATTTAAATGTAATATCTAAATTTCCCATCACTTGGTTGGGAATTCATGTTTTCGTTTTCCATATTGAGGACAGCTATTGGGCGTACACTGGATTAATTGCAGTTCTCAGATGTGACAGTGGGGGCAGTGTTAGACCTCCAGTGCTTCGGGACCTGGCCAACTGAAGAGCGTTTTCAGGTTTACGGCTTTGAGAGGAAAATGTAGCATGCTCTATGCCAGGCCGCCATCTTATTTCAAGCAGAATGATGAAGAACATGGTGGGTAGATCTGGTTCCAACATACGGCTTTAAAGCTCTGATAACCCCCCTCACCCCATCTTTCAGCGCACACGTCACACATTTTTTAAATTGCACTGTGGGATGGGATCATATAAAAAGTCTCAAGAGCCATTCAAGTGTTGAGAAGACTTTTTATGTGGGCAAGGTGATGATTCTGCAGAACCGGTGCGAAATGTCGGGATTCTTGTACGGAAATGGGTGTCAGATTGAGCATATGTGGGTGTGGGAGTGTGTTGTGTTGTGAATGCGAACTGTGTAGGATACTGAATGAGAGGAAGTCTGCTCGTCTACAAAGGCCAGTGATTATATTGAGAAAAAGGAGGGAGGAGTGAAAAAGAACACGAGAGAGAGAGAGATGGGGGGGAAGGGAGGGCAGAGACAAGGCCAGAGAGGCTGAGCATGAAACATATCGCCCCCTGGAGGTCCTCAGCAGCTACAAGTCTCTGCTGATGGCTTGGCTCTATCATTCCGGTCTAGTTTAATTGGCTCCGGAAACTCGTTGTATAACTCCACTTCGGTTTCCTAAAAAACAAACAAACAGTGGTACAGATAAGCACAAAGTATACTTTGTAAATGGGACTTAAGTGTTCTCATCAAAACAAAGAAGGATAATTATATTTGCATCCAGAGCAACCGAAGTTCTGTTTATTAGCGCACATTACAGTAGTAATCTGCCCCTTTAGGCCGTGTGTCCAACAAAACGTTTTTATCCAGCTGAAAACGCCAGACGCTCTGCTGAAGACGCCGTGCTTTGGGCGCTTGAGAACGTTATGGCAGCGCAGCGTTTTTTCCGTTGAGACGTTTCCTTGCAATGATACAGAATATCCGCAGCACAGTTTACTTGTAACTGATTTCGCAGATCATTTGTTTCATACTAAAAATTTATTTTTCATCCATTTTGTTCTGTTAGCTCTGCCAGTTGATGCCGTTGTACTGAAAGAATGTTGTGACAGTTGGTCGGTGTGTTATTAGTCCCGCCCCTCCTCCATTGTGATTGGACGGCTGGGACAGTGATGAGCGCTGCGTTTTATCCAAAGTTGAACATTTTTCAACTCTCGGCGACCAGTAAAAAAAGGCTGGGCGCTTCAGCGTGGAAAAAAAAAAAATGTTACGCTCATGGCATTTAAAAAAACTCGGCGCTCCCATTTGAAACAAAACAATTGAAAACATACGCCAGACGCGTGGAAAAACGCTTTGGTGGACACACTGCCTGAAAAAGACGTTGCGATCGACTTTACGTCACAGAGTTGTGACCTTTTTTTAAGTGAATCAGAATGATTGAATAAAAAAATAGAGGGTGTGGCTTGTTTTTTTCTGCTTGGAATTGATTGGAGCTACAAAAGTAGGTGTTCTGTTCGGCTGGCTTGTGCAGAAGAGAGATGTTCTACCCAAGCCATCAAACTGACGTCATCGGAGACAGAAGGCCATTCCAGAGGGGAAGTATAATTTCACACTTTGAGAAATTTTTTCTTCGCAAATTAACCTGCACTGATGAGCTGTTCCCCACAAGCATACTAGTGTGCACTTACAATGAAAATAGGGTTTAATTTTGATTTCATGCCAACTTAAAATGGTCAAGCTCTCGAAAGCCAGATTGATTCTGATTGGCTGTCAATGTACATATCGTTCATGAGCTGGCGTTGTTATCGTTATAGTTGTAGTTAAACTCTAAGCATATCCTAGCGTACATGCGTCTCTTGGTTTCCACACCAAACGCAACAGATATTTCTACAATACACGTACCTGTTTGAGTGCATTGCGTGCGATGGTCTGGAAAGCCTGCTCTACGTTGATGGCTTCCTTTGCACTGGTCTCAAAGTACGGGATGTTGTTCTTACTCTGACACCAAGCTTGTGCCCGCTTGGTTGTTACCTGAGGTTGAACGTGAAATAAAGAAGGAAAAATCAAAATGCGGACTTCACAGAGACGCTGAGACTGTGAATAAGGTTGTAGGTCACTGATTATATATTCAAAATGAGAAAGCGAGTAGAGTTGAAAAATCTCATGCACACTATAATTCAAGAGCTTGGGATCAGTAAGGATGCCTTAATTTGATCAAATAAGACAGTAAAGACATTTACAGTTCTGCTCATATGTTTATATACACATTGTAGAATATGCAAGATGTTGTTTGGTTTATACATTGTTCTTCAAAAAGATCCAATGATTTTGAGATCCATGTTTTCACACTCGGGATAATTGAGGCACTAGAGCACAGCTATTACAAAAGGTGAAACAATTCACTTGTGCAATCACAATGGGTCTCATTCATGAAACATTCGTAAATATACAAGTAAATATGAAAGTGATTTGTGCGTAAAGAGACCTTCCTGAAAACTCTTCTCCTGATTCACAAATACTTTGTAAATATCAGATGTGAAAGTGAAATGTGTGTGTGTGTTAATGAATTCCAACCAGTCGTGAATGGGATGCGCGTGCACGTTCATTCTCAATTATACCATAAATCAGGCCCATTATCATCATCTGACTGACATCTATAGGCATATAATAACATGAATTCGAATGAAAAAAGAAAGATTTCTTGGATGCAGAAATTGAATTTTTTTTTTTAATCGAAATTCATTCAAAAGCCACATTTTATTTTCAAGCGTACATAGTGGCCCATCAGGTCCTAAAAAAGGAAGATTGGCAGCATATTACAGATGCAGTTAATGGAGTTTCATCTGTTAATCGAACAGTCCCAGAAGTGAGAAGAATATGGTTCAACATTAAGCTTGACAGCAAAAAACGAATTAGTTCACTTCGGAAAAATCGTATTCAAACTGGAAAAGGACCGCCATCGATCACCAGATCTGCTATTACTGGCTCTCATTATAAAAGTAAAAAGAAAAAACGTATGTAATTACTATATAAAATATTTTTTTCAAAATGCTGTTTAAATATGTACCCATTGGTTAATTAAAATGCAGTTTTATTAAGAGCAAAACGTTCGGATGTTAAGCGCACCATTTACGCGTGGCTGGGAGCAGGTGTAGATTTCTTGCGTACCAACTAACATTTGGAAAATACGAACATTTTAATAAATCCGAAAACTTACGCCAGAACCACTTTACACACAAATTCGTTCTGCTCGTGTTTCATGAATGAGACCCCATGTATTAAGAGCTGGGGGTGTAAACTTCTTTTGGAAAAACTGTGGAAGAATTGGATGAGAAGTATAAATTGTGTTTATTTTATCTTCTGATAAATGTCTTATGTAGCTGCTCAAAGGTAGTACTAAATTAAAAAAAATATATATATATATATATTAAAAAAAAAAATATATATATATATATATATATATATATATTTTTTTTTAAAGGTTTTGAGTTATTTTCGTCAAATCATAAGTTCAATCATGACTACCCTCGGAATAGTTTTAGCATGTTATTGAATATGGAAATGTTAATGTATTTGGTCTTGGTGGACTAGATCTGATACACTGCTTCTGCAAAGCAGGTATGGACTTGCTACTGCTAATAGATACACAGACACGCTGCTGTGAGCATGTGAGATATGATGCTGCTGCATAAATAGACTTCCATAAATCCCATAGCTAGAACCAGGCAGGTGGAGGCCGTAGGTTTCAGAGTAAAACACTGAACCAGACTAATTGGATGTTGAGAAAGCAATCTCATTGGCAGCAGAAATAAGCAGAGCCCAATCAGCTTGTGCCATGTGGTAATGATGTGATTGCTGGCAGATTGCATGTAAAGGATCTATTAGCCTGTGCCCTCTCGAGTTTCATGACTCTATACATTTATTTGAGGTATCATTCACTGGAAGTTCAAGGACTTTAAAACTCTCCAAGACACTTTGCATGTATATGGAGAGGGTACAGCTGGTTCTAAATTAGCACCAATGGCCTCTTAGAATGTGACACGATCTTGATATATACTCCGTACCCATTTCTATATGTACACTAGTCAATGAATTATTTGTAAAGATCCATTAATTTATTCTAAAATGCATGAACTCATTCGCACAATGATATGAATGCACAATTTATGATGAGCCTGTTTTTAATTTTAAAATTTTCAAAAATATCAGGGTGATATAATAACTAAGAAAAAAAAAATTTAAAAAATGAATCTTAAGTAGTTGTCATGATCTTTTATTACCGGTATGTACATTACAATAGACAACTAGAATATTAAAAACAAAGAATTAATATGAATTTTCTAAAAACTCAATGTCTTAGAGAGGACCCCTTGCAAATAAACCCTCATGAAAGGAATCACTGCACCATAGCACCCACCTGCCTATTCTCCAGATCGATTTTGTTGCCCAGCACCACGAAGGGGAAGTTTTCTGGGTCGCGTGGGCTGGCCTGGATCAGAAACTCGTCCCTCCAGCTGTCCAGGGTCTTGAAGGTGTTGGGGGCAGTGACGTCAAACACCAGCACACAGCAGTCAGCACCGCGGTAGAAAGCCACACCCAGAGACTGGAACCGCTCTTGACCTGCTGTATCCCATATCTGAATGAAAGAAATCATACAGAATATTCACACAAACGTTCATTTTTTTCAAGTTGCAAATTTAACTTGTGCAAAACTGGAATGTCGCATAAAAGAT